GGGCATTCAATCATGTACATAATTTTGTATTCTTTGTAGAATATAATGAAGGCAAAGCTAGTCGCGAACAGTGTAAATAACAATAAATTTTAGTATTTCTGAAATTATAAAGAAATTAAATGGTTTTATCTTTTTTAAGTGTACAAGGTAATTTCTTCATAAAATGAAAATTATGTTTCACTCAAGGCTGGGTTGAACATTTACCGAAAAAAGATGAGACGTAGTTTTTATTAAACACAAAATCTATTTACTTATCTACATCAATCCAAAAGGGTATTCGATTTTTATAAAGTCTTCTTGCTGTTTTTGGTCACATTCTTCATAATGAATATCTTCGGGGGGGTCCAATTCTTCGTCAATATCGAGGAATTCATTTCTTGAGATATTCTCGTCATCCTCCTCTCTTTCTTCTGCTTGAATCTCTCTTGAATCCACGACTGTGTTGATTGAAAAGTTGGAGCACGATTGACCTCCACAGTATTCGCACAATTGAGGGCAAACTAGTCCAGTTTTTTGGCARCTGCACCGTAAAGTTTTATTGGCTTCCGAGCACGTACATTGCACCTGAAACATAGACATATAGGAAAAATAATTTAGAACATGCGGGTGTAAAAACTGAATATGATTTTTCATCTATTTCGTTCCAGATTCGCGAAAAATAAGTCGAACGGTGTAGACTTTAAAAAATCGTGAATTTTTAGAAAAATCGTTTAGAAGTGCAAATTTTTGCAAATTTTCAAAATTCGTACTAAATTTTGTTTTCTTCTTCGAATCAATTACAACAAAAGTAACGTTTGTATTCAATTTACAAGAGAAACGTTGGATAGTTCGCATTTTACAAAATTATAGGATTTTTAATATTCAAGAAATAACTCACTCGATTTGTTTCTCCATTGTAATAATATGTCTATTGAAATTTTTTAAGAACTTACCATTTTCAACAATTCGTCGGGCGCTGAATTTTTAGTATTTATGACAGGAATCATCATTGTGGTGGTTCGCTTCCAGCCCCATTCCTGTGCATCTAAGTTGTTTCCCAACCATGATTGCATCTGATAAAACGTGCGTTTCACGTGTTCTCGCAGGACAGGTTGCGTTGGAGGTAAGGCCGCCAACCGAATTTCCACATTGGTCTGGACGTCCAGTGATGCAAATTTTTCGTACCGAGCATCACTGAGCGACTGACTCGGATTTTTGAAGCTGTATAAATGTGCTATTATTTGTTCTGCACATTTACATAGACTTTCTATCGAACTTGCAGCGTTGTAGAACAGTTTTACAGCGGTCTGCAGATTTTTATTCTTTTGTAGAATGSAGAYGAYGTKCTTCTTTSCTTTGCCGTTGAAKGCACTCGTCGTGTCACATCCTCCGAATGCGTGGGCAAATAAAATATACGGKTTRAGATGTGCGTGGTCTWCTGTAGAATACAAAGTATTTATTTTACCACCTGGCATGATTTTGTAAAAATACAGAGGACTGGAATCTGACAAACCAATCAATAAAACCAGCAGGTCGGTGTTAGTACTAACAAGCGCTACTTCGCGGCCCGTAGTTTGTTTCAGCTCTATCGCTGTTTTCACTATAAGCGCATCCGCATTTTCTTGTGCAACTTTCACGTTGAGACCGTATCTACCTAAATACTCCGAAAGCATCTGCACCAGTTTCATTTTGTTCTTCACATTTGAGAGAAATTTCTTCTGGTTCATAGTGACGAATGTGCTTTCATTGAATTCGATATCCGGTGCCATATCTTCGTGACGTTGGCAGTATCTCTCGTACGATTTTATTCCACTATACTCGTCGCTGTATCCATCAAAAACGACCGAAGAATTTTCTCC